TCTAATGGTAAAGTCTAAATCTATCTGTGACTACTAAATTACTTGTAAAAGTGATATAATAAATAAAGTACATTCAAAAAACTAACTATTTATAAAAATACTAATAATAAAAATAATAAAATAAAATAATAATATAAAATAATTTAAACTTATTTTATAACAGTATAATATTTGCTATATAAGCAGATAGTAAGTTGGAGTTAAGTAAGGATTTTAAAATAGTAATACTTTTTAGTTAAACTAGTATTATATACTTTTGAATTAATATTAGTAGGTAAAATACATAAGGTACTAGGTTTGGCTTCAGATATACTATTATGATTCTACTTAACCACAAATCTGATGATTTTTTAAACTATTAAAACTATTAGAGTCTCTTTATTAAGATAATATTTTATATATTAGTACTAATATTTCATTTGATTAATTTATTTTTTAAGAAAAATATACTGACTTTTTTTATTATTTTTTATTTTGCTTATATATTTATATTTTAACTTTATATTATTATATTATAAATTTATTATATGATCATTAACTCTTAAATAAATTATATAATGAGTTGAATATATAATATTTGACTTTTATTTTAATTATATATTTATTATATGCTTTAATTTTTTATTTTTTTTTTTATTTTTCAACAAGCTGTCTGCAAATTTTTATTATGTATTATTTTCAAATTACATTTGTTAGTAAGAATACAATTAGCTATACATACAACTTTAGTCATTATCTATTTATAGGTTCTGCCATATAGATTACCTACTAATTGCTATACCTAGTATCTGCTTGTAGATACTCTATTTAAACCTTCTGGCATCATGATGAAACTCTATTTTTAACATAATATTTTTATATCTATGCTAATCTTGTGCTACCTCATTTGAAGACTATTCAGACCAACTTGTATCTCAAATTGTCTTTATAGAACTAGGCTCTATCACAAGGTATCTACTTACATCCTATTCTGGTGAGGGCTTGCGGATGACCCTAACTATGCTGTGCTATATCTTAATTAAGCTAGCATATACCCTTATTGGTGTTCATACAAACCCAGTTCCTTCCGTAGCTCTCCACTAGATTAGTTTAGTTCTTCTGAATATTTTACAAGATAGATCCTCCCAAATCTAGTTAGCTGCCAAACCAGGTTAGTATTGCTATTTGTATAATGTTACATTATACTTAACTTTTCTGTTACATTATAGACTTACTCACACTCATTCAGTTTGCATTCTTCATTTCTAGACTTCCTCCAGATCGAGCATCAAGTTGGTATGACTATCAAAATCTGTACTATCTCACCTAACTTGGGATTTCTACTATGCAGATCCTCTGCCTGTAGATCCTATCAAGATTTATTCATATAATGTTATATTAGACCTAACTTTTCTGTTACACTTCCAATATCTGATTAGTATTGGTATAATATGATTTATAGGGTTACAACTCCAGAAATAGACAGAGTTTACTATAAGTTGGATACAAAGGTCTAAGTAATTATTCAAATTCATTGACAGTGGGATTTGAACTCCAGACTTTTTATATGGCAGTCCGACAACCTAACCACTACACTAAGATCACTAGACTTATATGCTTTAATTAATTCTTAATTGATTTTTAATTTTATCATAATAGTTCTAACTAATCTTAGCTAATTAATTACTTATAAACTAACTCTTTAATTTATGTAACTATATTTTGAATATGAAGCTATCAAGTTTGACCCTTATTTATTTATTTATTATTATATACTTATATTATTTTTATTCATAATCTTTTTCTACTATTATTTCTCTTACTATATAATCTATGATCTGAATTTTCTTAAAGAACTAATTCTATTTATAATAGAAACTAGACTCTCTTTAACTTTTATCTCTGAAGTTAATACTATTTATGATTATTTTAATATCTTCAAATTTTAACTCTTTCTTAATTTTTTAACTCTATTCCTAGTAAAGAGCTTATATAACTTATATCTATTTACTTTTGCCAAATAATATTAACTATACTTCTCTATTTTTTTTATCATAAAAGATCTATTCTATCAATAATCAAATTTTCTTAGTGAGTTATCAAAAGTAGAATCATAAACAAGTACAAGGTCTTCTATACTAATAAGTTCTTTATTCTTAATACTATATTTATCATGAAACTTTTTTTACTTTAATTTTACTATAACTTTTTTTTAAGTCTCATTTAACTTATATATTAGATCTTTTATATATTAGATTTAAATATAATACTAGATCTACAAATGCTAAAATTGTTTTATTTAATTTATTTTTCTCAAAAACTCTTTATCTGATTCTGATTTTAGTATTTATTAAAAGAACTTCATCTTCTTACTTCTTCCTTATTAGTACTTTGAATATTTTATTACAGGTTTTAAAAGACTATTTGAACAGTTAATCTAATATAATTGTTATTTCTTTTTTAGCTATTAACCTAAGGATATCAATTTCTTAACTTAGATCAGTTATTAATATATTTATAACTAATCCTTTAGTAAGAGTTTTTTTATTAATCAGACTAATAGATTCTATTAATTCTTTACTCTTTCTCTTTTTAGATATAGTTTTTGCTTTATCTATATTTAGATACTACCTTTTACCAAAACTTCTATTATCAAATAACTTCTTATTCTTATTTACATGTATTATAAGATATTTATCATCTTTTTTTAGCACTTTTTTCATAACTTCAAAAATCTTATATTAGTATTTCTTATATTTGGAACTTTTACCTATTTATTTTAGTTTATATTTGATTTATTAGCAGATTAATTCTAGTCTTACTAATTAGAATAATTATATAACAAGTGATTCTCTTAGTTACATACATAACACTTTCAAAACAAGTTTTTACTTTATCTTATATTTTCTTTATTTTGTGCTATGTTTGAAGGTTATAATTTATATTAAGGTAAGTTGTACCTCTTTTCTATAAATGTTTGTATATTTTTTAACAACTTTACAATAGTTATTTCTATCTAATCTAATCTTTTCAAATTTGAAAAATACTAATTATTAATATAACAGACTTTCTTTACTTTCTGAATAGCTAGAAATTTACTAATATTCTTTATTGTTCACTATGCTTATTTCATGCACCCCTTGCATATTTATGCATAAATATGCATAAACATGCAAGAGAACATAAAATATACAAGAGATACATAAAATATGCAATATTTATAATTAATTACTTTAAAACTTATAATTGTTAAAATATTTGATTCAAGTAATTGGTTTTAAGGAGTTTCCAAAAACTTGGGTCTAAGAGGAGGACTATAATTATATAATAAATAATAGTTCCCCAATGATATTTAGTATATTTATCCATGAGCAAAGTCATTTTTGATAAAAAAAAAATTCAATCAAAATGAAATAAATATTTATTACATCATATTTAAGTAAAATAGTTTGATTCTCTTTATTAAACTCCAATAAAATTTATATTGAATTATTGTAAAACGTGCTGGTAATAATTAATAGATGGCAAGGTTCTAAAATGTAAGTTTCAATACAAAAGAATAAGAATTTTCCTTTTACACTAAAAGAATGATAAGATTAAAAAAAAGGTATAAGATAGATGAGTAATTAGTTCAATTATTATTAAAGAACCTATTAAAAAATCTTAATATTAACGTTAATACAGTAATATAAGATAATAAGTTATGATATTTAACCCGCTATTACCTTTAAAATATAATAATTAAAAAATCAATTTATTATTATTATTGAAAGAATAAGTCTTGAACAAGTTATCAATATTAACAAAGAATAAAGTTATTATTTTATAGTATTGATCTGTAGTTTGGAAACACGATCTATGATTCAAACCTTAATTGAAACAAGCGTCACAATTACAAAATTTAAGGTTTACATCATGCATTATTATCTAAAATTAAGTACTAAAGCAAGAGAACTATTGCCTTAAAGAATTATATTTGGTTAACATTAAATCGCTAACAGCCTATCATTCAATCAGTGTTAAACAAGATCTACATGATAGCAGAAATCGTCTGGTGTAGTTCGTAAAGTGATTAACTCACATGATCAAAACTTTCATAGTGATAGTACTCCCTTCGTATAGTACCCAGTACTTTTTAAAAAGACCGGGGGTACTGTATGCAGCTCTGTACGATAATTAATTTTCTTTATTAATACCTACGCATCGAACGTAGTTCTATAATTAAATCTATAAATTTATTTATTGTAAATAATATAAATAGATTACATTTTTTTTGAAACAAAAAAAAAACTAAGATAATTAAATTTATTTTTAAATTTTTAATATTAAATAATAGAACTATTTATTAATTAAAAAATAATAATAACTATTACGTATTATATACTAAAAAAAAATTATGTCGACTACAAAACCAAAGGGATCAACGTCACTAAACAACCAATACCTAAAAATCTAAAGGTATTAATATAATTTAAAATTGAATAAGCATTAGAAATATCATTTGGAATAGTTTGATCAAGAAATTGAGAATCACATTTTTGAGAAAAGAATTTGGGAGTTAATGAAAGTATTGGTTCAAATGGTGTACAATTAAAATCCGATGGATTATTTTGAGTATATAAGAGTATTTTAGTAAAAATTGCCTTCATTAAATATAATAAAGAATATAGATAATAATAATAATAATAAATATGTGTATGCGGATTAAAAAAAAAATTATTATACAGTATATACAGTAAATTATAATTAACATACCTTATTACAATCAGTACAGATTACTTGACTTGACAAAGTTAAAAGAGGAGTCATCATTGGTAGCAATGACGTATCAGGTGAACAAGCAGTATTTAAAGTACTTTTAGAAATTGGATTAGAAGTAGGCGAACTAATCGCACTATTAGTAATAGTAGTAGTTAAAATTGTAGCGATGCTTGTCGCTTTTGAAGTCTCAATAGATCTTGAATATGTTGGACTGCTTGTCACTCTTGTAGAAATTGTAGAACCTGTAGAAGGAATCGATGTACTGGTAATTGTTGGAAAATCATTATCTATTGTCATATTGCTAATATTAGTAGAATTTTTACCAAAGTTAATTGGAAACCGATTTCTAGCGACATTATTAGAAGTTGAGGAAGAATTTTTGAGAGCTTGACCGATATTGATTAGAGTCTCTATCATGCAATATGAATTGAATTTATTTGCAGAATCTCTTAAGCAAATAATATCTCTAATTAAATCGTAATACTTCAATAATTCATAAACGGTAGTGATTAATAAATTTTTTGAAACAAGTTCTTGATAGCATTGAGATTTTAGTGTTTGAAGTAGTTGTTGAATTATATCAGGAGTACATGGTTTTAACGCACATGTATCTTTTATGAGTTGTGCGAGAGTATTCAGCATTACAGTTTGATCATTTGAGGATTGATTTAAAAGAGTAGGTAAGCTCATAGTTAAAGTCAACATTGGAATGCAGTTGTTTAAAGATTCGTCATTAATCGCCGACGAAATAGTTTGCGAACATGATTCTGTTAGATTAAATTCTATTAAAGATTGAGCTTTAATTAATTGTATGAAATAGGAAATTACGAAAAGATTTATGAGAAGTTTAATTAATAATGTGCCGCGCATGATGATGGGTTAAGGGATGTAATTAATTGTTATGCCTACAAAGAAAGTTAGCACGTACTTTCTAAGCGAAAGACGTCGTCTAGCCTAACAATGAAAACTCTCCACATATATTACCAACACCAAAAACAAAGAAGTGCATAGATACATGCAATAGAAATTGACTTAATGATCATCATTGTTCGTTATTGCTTTATTGCTTAAAAATCAACCAAAAGAAGATAACAAGAGATTAATATACAGCATTTGTTCTATGTTTTTGGTAAAAAAATGCATACGAAACGGGAGATATTAGGTGATTTTTTTTGGGAGGTATACATGATATTGTCTAGTTTACTAATACTATAATCGATTCTACTTTAAGTCTCTAAAATCACATGATTTCCGCCATTCCTTGAGTGTCAAGACTGTAAGATGTTAAAACTTTTAAAAATGTACAACCAAATTTCGTATAGTATCTTAAAACATTTTGAGCAAAATATTACTATCACATGGTTAAACGGAAACAGTAACCTGGTATAATTAAACCAAAGGTAGAGGTAGCTGTATAACATGGTGTTCGTACACCCCGTCTTTATTGACTTGATAAGGTAACGGAAAGTCCTATGTAACATTAAAAATCAATATTTATTCCATGTCTCAAATTTCATTTCTCTCACCCTAATTCAGTATATCTCCGATAAAGGGAAAAGATTATGTAGGGGCGGGTAAGAAAAGCCATTTATAGATCTATTAACTTATATTGTTAATCTTATAAATGTAATGTGTACGTAGCTAAACCATTACATTTTATGGTTCGATTTAATTGATTTAATTACACTAGACTAAACAAGTTTAAAATTTGAAATTTTTGATGTAAATTTATCATTTTATTTTTGATCAATCTTTGTGTAAATTATATCGATATATATTTTTACAAACAATACTCGTAAAAAAAAAGTATATATTGTAGTATGTAACAACAACAAAAACACACTAACAACTTTAAGTAAGTCAGATTTTATGTAAATCGATTTCGATATGGCAAAAATTTCTCGAGATTTTAAGACATTTAATGGTTATTAAAAAAGAAATTTCTTTAAGTCTACCCGAATAATTTAATATTGAATACTTTCCTTGGCATCTTGGCGTACGAATTATCCGCCTAATGTGTTCGCATTTTATACTTTAGTTCAGTTTTTAAATGTTAGAGAATTATTCTACGTAATTAATTAAAATTACGGAATATGCATAACGAAATATTCGTACTTACTAAAATTATTTAAGACGATATTTATTATGTTTTTTGAAGTAGCCATTTTCGAAACAAAGGAATTTATTAAATATTTTTTTTTGTACACTTTGTTTAGTATTAATGTTCAAAACTTGAAACCGCCAAGAATCACGTGATGCTGTACTTAATCGTCGTTATTACTGAAACAAGTATGTAACTACCATTTACCTACCCATTTACGTATTTACGTGCATAGCCACAATCATTGTGTAATACGTTTGTTTTATTGACCATCTGACTACTTTAAATTCGATATTTAACTCAATATTAAACATTTGTTTGTGTGACTTGGATAATTACTATGTTTTTTTTTTTTTTTTTTTTTTGGATTGTTAAAAAGATTATTAAAAGATTTATTCTCTTGTTTTTTTCCTAGTTCAGCAAAAGAAATACTATGTTTATTTCGTTTTCTATGTCTTATAAGATTAGCATATAGTGAGTGAGTTGGTTTCCACTACATATGACTTAGGTTCAATTTCTGATTTTCCGGAAATATTTTTGATATTATGTCTATCTGTATATCTATCTATCGCTATTAAAAGAATATCATATTATATTAAGTACATCATATTATATTAAGTACATCTAACGTAAAATAATAATAATAATAATAATAATAATAATCTAATATTCGAACTTAGTAAGGGAAACTAATCAATTACCCCATCTGTTACACAGCATATATACCAGTTTTTATTCGTTTAATTATCATATTAATGTTTGAAACAAATATTTTATTCCCGCATAGACAAGTTACAAAATAATAATAAGTTTTAGTACTTTTTTCAAAAAATGGAAGTGCACACACGTGTTCTAAAAAAGGACTTTCGAGTAGTACTATCTTTTTATGAATAATACAAAATTGTTTCTTTGATAATGTTATGTTTACATACAAACATAAAATGTATAAATATCACTGAAACCTGCGTTTGTTTTTTTTTTTTTAAGAAACAATCAGTTCTTCCCCTCTTCCCTTGCCTCCGACTAGTTAAATCATTGAGTGATTTTTCTCTTTCTTTAACTAAAAAAATTTTTTTTTTTTTTTAAAAGAAAAATTCTTTTCTGTGGGATATTTTGCCTGGTGCAATTCTCATAGGTTCATAAAAAAATAAAACCCTCCCTCCTTTTAACCATCTCCTATTTTTCTTGAACCTTTGTAAATAAAATCATTACTTGAATAATATCCTTTAAAAAAAGAATTTCAAAAAAAAAAAAAAAAAATTAAATTAAAATAATAATAATAATGGATTTCAAAATAAATTTCCTCTTCCTAATTGCTTCCGTATTGTTGTATTTAACGACTTCAATTAACGCAGTTAATCCTATTGCTAATTGTCAACAATCTAAATTGGCGGCTAGTGATGGAACTCAAAATCCAAAAGGTGATTGTGTCAGTACAGTAATGGGTGAAGTTCCAACTGTTAAAAACATGGTCTCTTCTCTTATCGTAAGTCCTACAAATGGTCAGACAATTAACGAAAATCAAGCATTTGATGTTAAAGCAGCTACGAACAACCTCATCACTGGTTTCTTCTCTGATCCAAAAACTCAGTATTATACTAATCCACAAACACTTGGAGCCAATGGTCAGATCCAAGGACATAGTCATATTACAATCCAACAATTAAATGGTAACACTCCCCCTGATCCACAATTATTTGCTTTTTTCCAAGGATTGAATAATGCATCCGTGAACGGTATTTTGGCTGTTACTGTAGCAAAAGGTTTACCTGCTGGTAATTATAGAATTTGCACTATGACTTCCTCGCTTTCTCATCAGCCTCTTATTATGCCCGTTGCTCAACGTGGTTCTCAAGATGATTGTATCAGAATTAACGTTAAACCAAACAATAATGGAAAGGGTGCTAATAACGGAAATAACAATAATGGAAAGGGTGCTAATAATGCAAATAATGGAAACGCAAATAATGGAAAGGGTGCCAATAACGCAAATAATGGAAACGCAAATAATGGAAAGGGTGCCAATGGTCAGGGTGCCAATGGTCAAGGTGCCAATGGAAAGGGTGCCAATGGTCAGGGTGCCAATGGTCAAGGTGCCAATGGAAAGGGTGCCAATGGTCAAGGTGCCAATGGTCAAGGTGCCAATGGAAAGGGTGCTAATACTCAAGATGCTAAAGGAACGGGTACTAATACTCAAGGTGCCAATGGAAAGGGTGCTACTAACACAAATAATGGTCAAGGTGCTAATGCTCAAGGCAAGGCGGCAAGGAGTGCAAAGATTCCAAAGAATGCAAAAGGAAAAGGGAAAAATGTAAAAGGAAAGGGAAAGGAAGTAAAGGCAGTCAAGAAGAGAGCTCTTTTTTAATTTAATGGTAAAATAGATAATTTTTTTTATTTAAATGTACATTCATCTGTGTGGGAGGTTTTTTTTTTGTCCATATCATTACACTAAGAATAAAGATTTCTTTCTGTTTATATTAATTACAAAAAAATCCAAAAAAAAAATTAGGGTTTTTAATAAAATAATAGTAGCTTTGTTTATAGTACTGTAACTACAGAAAAAAAAATTTGATTTATTAAATAATAAGCATTTTTTCTTTTATTTTTTTTTTTGTTTAGAATAACGAAAAAATAAACTTGATTTTTAAGTAATAAAAAACTCTTCTTTTTTTTTTTTTGATAAAGTTTACAAGAGGTCAATTAACATAGGAATACAAAATTTGAGTTTATGATACCAATAAATTGTATCTAATCATAAAAATATTCGAATTTACACGTCTAAAATTTGAATATTTGAATTCTTGTATTTGGACTTTAAAAAAATAGCGATACAAAATTTACAATATACGTAAAATCAAATCTTGATTGACATCTCTATGTTAATTTGTATACTATAATATCCGATCTACTAGTTAACATAAGTATTATCTAAATTTATAGTCCTAATATTAATTTGTAAACGTAAATGACAGCGAGATTTTAGTGATCTACTAATAATCGTCAAATAATGAATTGAATTATTATTAATAGATTAAAATTCTTTTTTTTTATACTATCCCAAATTTGATTAAAAACTTTATAATCTTACCTTTACTATTAATTACTGTATTAATAATCAAATTATTTTTTTAAATTATTATTATTTTGTTTTTTTTTTTTATGATATTTGTTTCTGTCTAATTATTTTTTTCAAAAATTTTTTTTTCTGTTTACAAAAGAAATAGCAGTATAAGGATTACGTATTAGAATTTCAAATTAAGAAATAATTATACTTGCTTAAAAAAGTAAAGAATAATTAACAAAGGTGTGACTAATTTGAAACAGAGAAACCTAATTTTTAAAATTATGCATATCGTTAAACGTACGTATCATATCTGACATTCGGCTAAAAGTAGTTAACAAAAAAAATCAAATTAAATCGATAAAGATGGAAATTTTATATGTATAATAACAGAATACGTATAACAAATGATAATATTTTATCTTTAAACTTATGTAAATTTTTTATACGTAGTCCAATTTTACAATTCAAGGATTCATAACTAGAAGTATGTTTACATTGTGATTCTTAAAGGTAACAGGTGACTATTAGATAACATTGTAATAGGGGCCTGCAAATTATCTATTTTTGTGGCCCGGCCCGCACTTAGTTTTAAAATTTTTTTTGTCGGCCCGGGCTGCGGGACCCAATGCAGGTCTCTACCTTGTAATGTATTAATTTTTCTTTTACCATTATATTAATTTTTCATATCGACTTTCATTTATAATCTAACAAAAATTTATTTTAAAAAAATTGTAAAAATATGTTCTTTAACTTTTGACACTCTATATAGTTTTAGAAAATAAAAATAAAAAAATTTGGGAACTGCTATTCGCACTATGAATTTTTGCTATTAGCACCATGAATGATCACGTTTGTTTACAAATTTTACTAACTTTGATCGAAGATATCTCGACGACCACTGCACCAAATTCGATGATACTTTTTTATTTATTCGAATTCTACAGATCTGTAGAATTCAAATAAAAAAATTTTCATCGAGTTTGGTGCAGAGATCGTCGAGATATCTTCAATCAAAAGTTCTGTTTAAAAATTTTGCAGTTACTATGTTACGTTTTAAAAAATTTAAAATTTTGATCGAAAATATCCCGATGACCACTGCATTAAATTTGATGAAAATTTTTTTATTTAAATCCTACAGTCTACCAAATTTAAATAAAAAAATTTTCATCGAATTTGATGCAGTGGTCATCGAGATATCTTCGATCAAATTTAGCACCTGGAAAATGTGTACCAGGTTGGGTCCGGATAATTAGATCGAAATTACAGAACGATCGGAATTATATCGAATTTTTTTTATTTTCTTTTTTGTATTACATTATTACCCCTATATGTCAGTTGCTTATAAATTATGACTTTTAATTAAAAATTAAAAAAATGAATTACGTATTATTATTGTAATAAATACAGTATACGCTTATTTAAATAATAATATTTTTGAATTTTTCTTTTCTATTTTCTTTTTTTTCTTTTTTTTTTTTTACGAAAAAAAAAATGCAAAGTTCGTTACAGTGTAAAGGTCTAATTTGACCCTCCGGAAATACTGCGCTTCGACGTAGTACAAAGTCCTATTTTTAGTTTTAGATTCTTTTATATATATCTTAACAAACATGTATGATAGTCTTACCTCGTAGCTTAGTAAGGATCATTATTTACCTTAATTAGATTAGCCGATGTTCACGATGTGACATATGTGGCATTTAGGCATATATGTCATATCTGGCACATGTGGCATATATGTCCTATCTGACATATCGGACATATATCAAACATGTCCCAAATGTACACACTAGTATCGCAAAAGATATAAAAGCGATACCTTTTACCCTCAATAAAGATAACTCAACTCAGCTCAGAAGAGTTCAATAAAATAAATCTCAGATTTGAGAAATCCCTTCTCATAAAAACCCTGATACCACATTCGTTAACCCACAATTACCTCTCTGATTTTCTTTAAACTGACCTTGACTCTGATAAACCTGGACCAAATCCTCTACATCCTCTTTCTGCCTTCCACTATTAGGGTTATCATTAGTTTAGTAGTAGGTTGTAGAGATTGGTTGGTGAGACTATTATTCTAACCTACTCTCAGACCCAGACTCCTATTCAGCTTTCAATATTTGGTGGTGACTATGAGATCCAATATGATTTCATCTAAGGTCAAACTTGCAAAAAATTAAGATTGGAATTAGCAAGGATATTTCTATTGATATTAAGGAACCAAAAGACTAATAAAAATATTAGTCTGTTGTTAATATTTTAAAAAGCAAAAATTGACAAAAAAATAGAGTCTACATTGTCTTAGTTAAGATATTGGAGTACACTAAACTAAGCAGAAATCAACAGCAAAAATTAAACTACTGTGAAACAACTAGCCAATATGGCAAAACATTCTATATATATAACTACTCAACTATTAGGGATCACTATGCTTTGAAGAGGTTAGATTTTTGCAGTACACTATATGTAATTCTGTTCTATGATTACAATTTAATAACCAATGCACTCAGTGATTTATTGGTACTATATGAACAGTTTATTGAAAGAGCCTAGCAAGAAGTTATCTAACAGGAATTTCTAAATGAATTCAGAATTAATCCTAGAATAGAAGAAAAAATCGTTAGTACTATTTATACATATCAATTCTTAGTGCAGAATCTGTAACACATTCATAACCTAAAAACAATCTAATCTAAATTTGACATTAAAGTAAATTCAGACTAGGTTGTCAGTGTTCTAACATTAGCCTCTAGAAAAAATGAATTAAAAATTTAAATTAGCAAAATTCAAAAGTAAAAAAAAAATAAAATAAAATAAAAAATAAATTTCAGTATTGCCGTGATATTTAAATAATATTATGATATCAAATATAGTGATGTTAATTAAAATCGTATCGCATGATCTGAAATAAAATTTACCCGGTTATCAATGACGATGATTTAAATCATAAAAAAAATCATTTTATAGCAATATAATATTGATTTAAAACATTGTGTTTTAAATCATTTGCCATCCCTAGTCAGATCATATTAAAATTTTCGAATTCCGCGCGGAGCGCGGGTTTTGAGCTGGTACCCTATAAATTTGACCTTTTACTTATTTAGAGAGAGATACAGTATTAGCATGTTTGTAATACAGACTAAATACATAACTTCGAAGATGTTGAATCATTTGTATACATATTGTAAAACCAAGAGTACAGCCTAATTATTTATTTACATGATGCAGGCGACAATTTATATAAAAACAAAATATCGATACTGTTTAAACAACTTCTAGCTAATTTTTATAGCAAAAATGTTAGATGAAGAAATTACTAAAATCACTAGCAAGTTGAGTTTTACAGATTGTGAAAAATTAGCAGATAAAAAAGATTCTAAGGGAATGTTCATGCTTGGTTATTGCTATGAAAACGGAATTGAGGTCGAAAAGGATGAGAATAAGGCATTTGCACAATATGAAAAATCTGCTGAACTGAATAATATTTATGGGATGTATAAAGTTGGCCAATGTTATCTTAACGGAATTGGAATTGAAAAGGACGAACACCAGGCATTTACTTGGTATGAAAAATCAGCAAACGCAGGAAATTCTAACGGAATTTATCAAGTTGGCCATTGTTATCTTAATGGAATTGGAGTTAAAAAAAATGAACTTCAGGCATTTACTTGGTATGGAAAATCCGCAAATGAGGGAAATTCTAACGGAATGTATCAAGTTGGGGTTTGTTATGACTTAGGAATGGGAGTTGAAACCGATAAGCAAAAAGCATTTGAATACTACAAAAGTTCTGCTAAGGCAGGCAATTCAAAAGGATTCTCTAGGATAATCGAATTATCTGACGAAATGGGACGTACCGATGGAATGATTCAAGTTGGTGATTGCTATCTTAACGGAATTGGGGTTGAAAGGAATGAACACCAAGCATTTGTTTGGTATAAAAAAGCAGCAGAGAAAGGAGATTCTAACGGGATAAATAATGTTGGCTTTTGTTACGAACATGGAATTGGTGTAGAAAAGGATGAGAAAGAAGCATTCGTACACTTTCAAAAATCAGTAGATAAGGGAGATTCTGATGGAATGTTTCAAGTTGGCTTTTGTTATTACCATGGAATTGGAGTTAAATTGGATAAACAACAAGCATTTAAATATTACTTAAAATCAGCTGAAATGGGCAATTCTAACGGAATCTTTAAAACCGCCATTTGTTACTATTACGGAATTGGTGTGGAAAAGGATGAAGATAAATTTCGGGAATGGATTAAAAAGTAAGTGTGATTTTAATTTTTGTCTCGATATTTTAT